GAACATATACAGGCTATATGAAAAATAATTACTGTTAAATGTGTCCCCTGTTCTGTAGTTTAGAACTACTGAATGATGTCTTTGTGCACCAAATAATGGCGATGACACCATGTAGAAAAGTCAAAACAGTGTCTGAGTTAAAATGGCCGCCATCCATTGCTCTCACCATGTGCTTCATCCATTGTTCTCACCATGTGCCTCTGATACATGAAATGTTGGCCACCCAGTAACTCCACAGTTTGTTTGGTAGTCTATCCAGCCGAACCAACTGATGAAACACACGGGGAACAGTGCAACAAACGAAGGGAATCATAAAAAATATGGACAATAGTCATATTTGAGCACAATCTCCAGTTTTGTCACAAATAGTGTTTTTAAATGTAATATATCCCAGGGCCATAGTCAAAAGGTAGGAGGCGGGCAAGCAGCCCCCTCCAAAAACACGTGGCGAGGTCTGTTCCGCCACATTTCTCCCCTTTACCCACCAGACTAACAGGGTATCTGACCCTGGTTAGTCCAGCAACCCACCCACAAAACAGAATCCGCAGTATAACCCACCCACGAAAATTGGTTACTACACCTGGTGTAGTGGGTCGCTTGTCCATGTCCAGTCTCTCCACTTCGGTTCTGGGGGGTACTAGCACTCTGGATCGGTGGGTTGCTCAGTGGGCAGAGACCAGTGGTACTCTGCCCTGTTGTCAGCGCTACCACAGGAGTAGCCTGGTTGGAGCCCAGGTGAGGGAACGGCGTAGTAGGCTCCTCAATCCGGACCTGGGGCTTTGGATGAACAACCCTGCTGCTGGGGGACAGGACCGACCATCCCTACCCCCTGTGATGCATGTGCAGAGACCACAGTCCCATCTGTATTGGTGTGGTGCTTAGCATCTCCCCTTTGTGGGCTAGGCTGCCGCTGGGGAGGTGAACCGATGGTCTCCACTCCCAATAGAATACTCTTCCCCTGGGTAGTAGCTTCCTGTATATCGTTCCAGTCTGAGGGGCCTTCGGGAGGGCCAATGTCCCTTTCCCATGCCTTTGTGTAGGAAAGTGCTCACCGTACTCCCTGTAGCTTGGGTGCAGAGACCACGGTCCCATCTGCGCCGGTGTGGGGCTTATCTCCCCTTGGTGGGCTAGGCTGCTGCTGGGGAGAGGGGGTAACAAGCTCCTCTCCCTGAAGCATAGCCTCCCGCTGGGGAGAGGGGGTACTGTGACAAAATGCCTTTTGTCACTGGATTGTTAGTGACAAAGCTGCCCTTTGCCCCTGGCTGTTGGAGGAGCCTGATTGCCAGCCTCCTTCCTCATGACTATGGCCCTGGGGTGTAGTGCCATTTAAAAAGACTATTTGGTGCTTATTGGCTTCTAAAGACTTTTTCTTCCCATTTGAATCCATGGGAAGGTGTGTCTCTTCCACTCCCCCGTTTTCTGTCTATTGTTCTCCAGCAGGGCGTTGTCCCAGGCACACTGCCAAACCAGTTGGAACTGACTGCTTTTGTCTCTCCTTGGTTTCTCAACAGCCCTTGCTATGCTTTACCCCATGGCAAATTTACTCTGTTCATGGGATCTGAGCGCTGTTCACCTAGATTGGGCGCTCAGATCCGAGCTATCTGGGGATAAGTTGAATGTAGGGGTTCTGTGTAATACAATAAGAATTATGTATTTTTATGTACTTTTACGTATTTTTGCTGTTAGTGTAAAATGTAGATATTTTCTGTACCTGGAGAAAATTGAGTTTACTGCAGTGCCTTAAGCCAATTATCTCCAGGATGGAGAGGAGGGATTTCATTGTGTATGTGGGAGTGTTATGTTAATTAGTGTTCCCATTGGTTTGTGTTCCTTTTGTCACAGTTTACCACCAGGTCCAGGGGGTGTGCCTCTGGCCTGAAAACCTGTATATAACGAGTAATAAACGCTCATTGGAGTCAGATCAACTTGTACCTTCATGAAGTTTCGGCTCATGTTTGGGGGATTGGAGAACTACACTCTGGGGATTGCTATAATCACTATACTTCCCAGGGTATATTCACTAAGCTCTGCTAAGAGCCTGTTCCTGCTCTCTGGAATTCAGAGAGGTCTTGGGTCCAGAGTGTGTGGATACGACGAGACCCCAACCAAGCTGCGGCAGTTCGTGGGGTGCAGTGGTTATGGTGTTGGGCAGAGTGCTTGGAGTCCTCGGAAAGCACTAGGAGCATCCGTCAGCGGAAGGTACCCGGTCGGGGTGCCAGCGGTTCCGTTACAGGTACCAAGTTCCTCTCCCTTATACACTTTCAGCCGCTGGGGAGAGGGGGTGACCGGCTCCTCTCCTTGACACTCTCTCTGCTGGGGGAAGGGGGGACCGACTGTCTCCCCTTTCCATATATTGTCCTGCTGCTGGGGAGCGAGACCAACTGTCACTGCTCCCTGCAGGACACTCTGCCACTGGGGAGGAAGGACAGCACCTTCGGCTCCCTGGGACTCGCTTGACTGCTGGGGAGGGGGACCAAATGTCTCCTCTCCTAAGGACACACACTGCCGCTGGGGAGCGAGGACGCTGCTCTCTGCTCCCAGTGAAACACACTGCCGTTGGGGAGCAGGACAGACTGTCCCTGCCCCCTGTAGCTCACCCTGCTGCTGGGAAGGGAAGACGCTGCTCTCCTCTCCCTGCAAGGTACACTGCCCAGCATCCCTGTAGGGCCGGTAGAGAGACCGCGGTCCCATCTCCACCTGCCATCTGTGGGTCTTCCCAGGACCAGTCTATGAGGTCCCTCAACATTTGAGAGTAGGGACCACCTGCTTCTGCACCCGGTAACTCCGGCTGCTGCTGGGGATCTGGGCCAGCTTCCCAGCATCCTGGTGGGCCCGGTGGAGAGACCTCGGTCCCATCTCCACCTGCCATGTTGTGGTTCCTCACAGGACCAGTCTATGAGGTCCCCTACTTCAGGTTCCTCTGGCCGCCTCAGGAGGAAACTGTTAACCTCCTCGAATGCCGCCTCTCTTTGGCTGCTGTAACACTCCTTGCGCTGAGCATATTCTCTCTCTTTAGCCAGCTGGAATTCTCGGTCCATCCTTGCGTTTCGCTCGGCTGTGACCTGGTTCCAGATCGCCTGGCATATATCCATGGGCACATTATCACCATACCTTGGCCAGCCAATCATCTCCAGAGCCAGAGCCTTCCATACCTCTCTGCTCCAAGTCGCTGGATACCTCTGCTCCCAGGGGCGCTGCACGAGTGCTAGTGTTGCCTTCAATTTGTAACTCCACGAACGGTGTCTCCGAGCTGCTTTACCTCGCACTAGGACGCCATCCCACCGCTTGCCACCAATTGTAGCGGACCCTGTTCCTAGTGTCCTGTTCCCAGGTTCAGACGCTCAGCCCTCTCTGTCCTTATCAGGAACTTTTCCCCTATTTTCTTCTCCCTGCAAGCTGGAACAGCAGACGCAGGGGTTAAAATCTTCCTCCTCTCCAGTAAAAGGATGACACACAGTTTGGAGGTTTAAACACTGGCATCTCACAAGGCTGAGTCACACTCTTTAATGATTACAGCTTCCTTTAAGCACAGACCTCCGCAGGGGGTCTCCATTCCACACAATACACTTCCCTTAGTTCCAGACAGGAGGGGATTGGGTTACAGATAGCCATCTCCCGCCTTACCAGAGATGCCAAGCAGTGGATTACTGTAACCCTCACCTTATTGGTCTCCCTAAAAGCCGTATTGCCCCACTACAGTCTGTAATGAATGCTGCAGCTAGACTTATTTGCCTCTCTAGTCGGTCTTCTCACACCTCACCCCTCTGCCAGTGCTTACATTGGCTCCCTGTATCCTATAGGAGTCAATTCAAAGTGCTAACCCATACATTTAAAGCACTGAACAACTCTAGCCCCTCTTATATCTCTTCACTGATCCATAGGTATGCCCCTCCTCGTTCCCTCCGCTCTGCCCGTTACCACCTCCTGACCGCTGCTCGCACCCGTACAGCCAACTCGCGCTTGCAGGACTTCTCGCGGGCGGCTCCTTTCCTGTGGAATAGCCTGCCTACCGCCATCAGACTCTCGCCTAGTCTTCAATCATTTAAGAAGGACCTTAAAACCCATCTCTTCAGGAAAGCTTATGGCCTCCAAGAGTAACCTTACATACCTGTCTCTTGCTCTCTCCTATAGGGCAGTGCTTTACTCTCTCCTCCAGCTCTGCTTCACTCCCACCCTATTTGATTGATATTTCCTGTCTTAAAGTGTCATATACACGTTACGACAGGGTCCTCTTAAACCTATTGAGCAGGGTCCTCTTCAACCTATTGTTCCTGTAAGTTTTCTTGTAATTGTCCTATTTATAGTTACATCCCTCCCTCATAATATTGTAAAGCGCTACGGAATCTGTTGGCGCTCTATAAATGGCAATAATAATAATAATAATATAAGCACTGGGTCTACAAGACTTGAATCCGGACTATCATTAAGTCTCTCCCATGCACAGAGTGTTGGCCGCTTGGATATGAATCATGTGGCAAGATATTGGGAGATAGGGAGTAGGAAGTCTGGTGACTAAGGGTAAAATATTGGGGGATTGAAAGTAGGAGGTCTGGACACTGAGGGTTAGATATTGGGAGATTGATAGTCAGAGATCTGGAGACTGAGGGTTAGATATTGGGGGATTAGGAGTAAGAGGTCTGGAGACTGAGGGTAAGATATTGAATTGGAATAAGAGGTCTGGAGACTGAGGGTTAGATTTTGGGGGATTAGGAGTAAGAGGTCTGGAGACTGAGGGTAAAATATCGAATTGGAATAGGAGGTCTGGAGAGTATTAGTATCATTCAAGCAGAAGTTCTCCCTCTTATTTAGCTATATCAGCTTTGTGCAACTCTTCATACCATTCATTGAGAGCCTATGCTGCTTGGAGTGTCCATTTCAGAGTCTTTACAGTTTGTATTTTATTATGTCTCTAGAATTGATGGTTATGTTGTAGGCAGGCACTGATTTGCCATCTTTTTAACACCATGTTCGTCATGAAATAACAGTTCACATTTTGTATTTTCATTATTTTCACTTTTATTGCACAAACTCCTCAGGAGCGGTTTAACACTTAAAAAATATTAACAACATTAGTTTAACAACATTGACTTGCATGCTTACCCTTCATAAATACAACAGTGACAATAATTTAACATTCAATAACTGTTAGAGACCCATTTGAATACTTTGATAAGTGACGTAACCCTGGTGAGCGAACTGCACACGTCAGGTTTTCTCTTAGAAAGTAAGAAAGAGTTTGCATATACTAAGCACTCATTCAACTTTTCTGGAAAATGATCAAGTCTTGGCGTTCACCATGAATTCTAGAAATGCAAATTCTGTTTACTTTGTTTAATGACAATTATCTGTAATGTTTCCATTTTTGGAAAGTATTTGAAAGCTAAGAACATACAGCTGGAACAATGAACTTTATAAAAAAAAGATGTAGAACAGTAATATAAACCTAAAAAGACACGTAGATATTAAACTTCAGTACGGTCATGGCTGATTAGATGTAGATACAGATGTTACCGAAGGCTCTATGACTTGCTCACTCTTTATTGCCTTTGATAGGCTGTCAGATAAAAGGTTCAGCCTCACATGCATAAACATAAAATGCGCTAAAAGATCTGGGCGAATGGTTCTTATACCAGAGATATGTCAGAGCTAATATCATGCCACAGTCTGCTTTCCTCTCTTACCATGTCATTAAATAAAACGACCAAATTCACACACTCACACAGAGCCTTCTGATGTCAGTTCCTGACATATTACATCACGAGGACTTATTTCTAAATGAGCCATGTACCATTAGTGAAACACAATGGTGAATATGTACAGATAAACTACCATCTGCTGCAGAAAAAAAAAACGCACAAATACTTTAAAAGGAAGAGGGTTAATCAGGATGAATACAAGTGTAAATTCCACCTGATGCCCCTCAAACAAGACAAGGTTTTTCCACTGGCTGCTTGCCGGAAAATGAAAACCTAGTTACAAAATAGTAGTTCTGAGTGGAACAGGGAGTAAAAATGATCTAGAATCCTCCATAACCCATCCTTCTCAGGTGTCACTGATCTTCTCAGATTTTAATGTTTAGTGTACTATTAAGATTTCAGTTTTGAAAGAATATGTGTTTTGCAAAGGAGAATCAGCTTTACACATCTGTGAATAAAAAATGAAATACAGAAATAACAAAGAATGTTTCAACACTTTCTTACAGAGAACTTTACAATATTGCTTTTCAGGGTGAAATCTACAACTGAGAAAAATCTCAGAGAAACATCAGATGTAAAGGGATAGATACAACAGTCTACAAAACAACGCTGCTCAATTCTCTGCCATTTAGGAGTTAAATCACTTTGTTTATACAACGTTAGCCACACCTCCCTGTATGTGACTTGCACAGCCTTCCTAAACACTTCCTGTAATGAGAGATCTAATGTTTAAACAGTCTGTTTAAATTTGAATTACTTCTCTTCTAATCTGTTAATATCCTTCTAGACCCTGCAGGAGCCTTATTTTGTGTGATTAAAGTTCAATTTACAGAGCAGGAGATAAAAACTTCTAAAGCAATCAAACATCTTATTGAAAATAAAAGTGTAACGGATCACCTGGCACCCCGACTAGGTACCTCCATTGATGGATGCTCCTAGTGCTTCCCGAGGGCTCCGAGCACTCCACTTGACACCATAAGCACCGCAGACCCCACAAACCGCCGCAGCTTGGTTGGGGTCTCACCATCTCCTACCCACCCTGGACCTACGACAAGGCTCCAGTGGGTGAACCTCTCCTCCTTCAGAGAGCGAAGCAGGGACAAGCTCTTAAAAGAGCTTAATGATTATAGCCAGGGGAGTATACAGCGTATAGCAATCCCCAGTGTAGATGTAGCCTTTTCCCCAACACATGAGATGAGGCTCTATGTTGAGTGTAAAGGAACTCCGCAGTCTGAGGGTTTATTGTCTCTTATATACAGGTTTTCCCACAAGGTTACCACCCACGTGGACCTTGTGGAATACAGGATACAAAGTTACAAAACCAATCAGGACAGACTTGTACAGTTTAGACACTCCCAGACAATGTACACAAACCTTCCCCTCTGCCTGTGATACAATTAACAAACATAATGGGCTAACTTAATTATCACAGGCAAAAAACACAATTGTAACGGATCACCTGGCACCCCGACTGGGTACCTCCGTTGAAGGATGCACCTAGTGCTTCCTGAGGACTCCAACCACTGCAGCAGACACCACAACCACTGCAGACTCCGCAACCGCTGTAGCTTGACTGGAGTCTCGCCGTCTTCCTTCCACCCTGGATCAGCTTCTGTCCTCCAGGACCGTGTGGGAAAGACCTCTTCCTTCCACCCTGTATGAACCTCCAGCATCCAGGACTGTGTGGTGAAGACCTCTCCTCCAAGGAGAGCGGGTCAGGAACAAGCTCTTAAAAGAGCTAAGTGATTCAAGCTCAGGAGAATATGCAGAGCATAGCAATCCCCAGTGTGATTATAACAGCTCCCTCCAATAACGAGACAAGGCTACATTTAGAGGGATCAAGAAGAACTGTCTAAACCTTTATTTCCCTTGGGACCAGCCCATAGGGTCACCACAATAACATTGTTGTGAAACCTCAATAAAATCACAAACAGTCAAACCATAGCAGGCAACACACAGTGACTTATCACAACACAATGGCACATTTTTAAAGGGGTGGGGAGACAATATTTAACAGTAAATATCTCACCTGCCTGCAGAATTAGCAATATGCAAATCTACCCGAATATGCAAATGAACCAGTCTTGCGATTCAGGTAGTGCATATTGCTGTTGCTCAGGGCCGTCTTTAAGGAGGGGCAAAAGGGGCAGCTGCCCCGGGCCCAGTTACTCCTGGGGGCCCTAAGGCAGCTGCCCCAGGGGTAATCAGGGGCCACAGCCCTTTAATACTGCTCTGGACCGGCCCGGGCCCCTGTTATATGGGGGGTGGCTGACTACATACTCACAGCTAGCCCCTCACACACTGCCCTGTGAGTCTCTTTGTTTCCTGGGCATGCTGCGAGGCAGTGAGGTCAGATTGCTTCCTCCCAGTAAGAAGTGATCACTTCCTCCTCAGTGCCGCTGGGGAGGAGGCACACACCACATGGAGGAGGATGCAAGCATTGTGGGGGAGAGGGACTGAGAAAGCTGATGGCAGACTTCCATCAGCCTGGGCCAGCAAGCTCTCACTGGACCCCAGGGAAGCCACCTTTCTGTACCCAAAAGGTAAGGAGACAGGAGGGTGGCTAAATATGTTTTGTTTTTTTGTTTTGCTTATTTCTGATATCACTTTTATTCAAGTGTTGGTGTTTGTAATGTAACACACAGGGAATAAGTACATGTTAAAATCCTAGAAGAACCTGACAGTTCCCTATTAAATATAAATTTTAAAAGTATTTATTTTAACATATTATTGCATCAAGTGTTATCAAAGGCTGTATACCATTTTCAAATGTCACTTTTGCCAAATTCTGGACCAGGGTATGTAAGAACAGAGTTGAGACATTATATTGGCCAAGGTTGCTGGGAGTTGCTGTCCAAGAGCTGCTAGAAGGCAGAGATTAAAATATGTAAATGTACACATATATATGTGTGTGTATCTGGCTGTGTTTATGTCCTTGTGTGTATCTGGCTGTGTTTGTCTGTGTGTCAGTGTTTCTGTGTGTATGTATACCTCATACACCTGTATGTGCACCTGTGTGTGTGTTTCGGTGTGTGTGTAAGTGTGCATCTGAGTGTGTGGTAATGCATACATCCCAGCATTTTAATGCCAACACAAATACACTCCTACATTCCATCTCTAGCACTGTACACATATACACCCCTGCATTTATACCTTTATGTATGTGTGTATCTGAGTGTGTGTGTATATACCTGTGTCAATGTGTGTGTGTGTGTGTATGTGCCAGTGTGTGTATATCAAAGTGCTTGTATCTGTGTGTCAAAGGGTGTGTATCTGAGTGTGTGTATGTGTATGTGCCAGTATGTGTCAAGGTGTGAGCATGTGTCAGTGTGAGCATGTGTGTATCTGCGTGTTAATGTTTATGTGTGTATATGTGTTATAGAAATCACACAACATGCAAACAGACCCCTGCAAACACAAACTTTACAAACACACCAGTTTGCTGAAACACTAATACTACACACAAATGTACACATGTATTTAAAAGACAACACTACATCCAAACACCCCCCTGCATGCAAATACAAACATTACATGCAAACACATTCCTGTATTAAAACGCTAAAATTATATACAAACACCAACTCTACACACAAAAGTACACCTGCATTTAAAAGCCAACACTACAAACAATCATACATCCCTGCATTAAAATGCAAACATCTATCTTTTCTTTACTCTTGTGCTACAGGGCAGGCCTGAATTATTTATTTTTTTGTTGCACCAAGGCACTCTCTACATTAGTTTCGCCTCTAGGTTGGAGTGGAGGGAGTGATTGCATGCCCAGGGGGCCCAAACAGATGCTTGCCCAGGGTCCAATCAATATTAAAGACAGCCCTGCTGTTGCTACCAACAGAGGGCACTAGACAAGCTCCATAGCCAAACCCACCTAGTTGGTAGCAAACCTCAGCAATACAAGAGAGCAGGCAATACATTACACAGTACATACACACACACTATAAACAATTACATTACACACACCCTGCACCTATAATGGGTACAGGGTGACTAAAACATAAGATAAATAAAGCAGCCCACATAAATAGTCTGTCTGAAGGTAGACTAGGGGCTTTAAAGCCAGATACATCAAAGAGTCATAGTCACAGGGGAGGAGGCTGGCAAGCAGGCCTCTCCAGGACCAAGTGGCGAAGGGCACTTCGTCACAACAATTTTTTCCCAAAACACAGAAAACAGCCCAAAACACCACATATCCCCACAAATTATACATAATTTAACCGACCGCAAGCCTGGCTTTCCTGCCCAAAACAGTTCCACAGATTTAGGGTGTGCAGTCAGTCTATCTTCTCCTCTATCCTGGAGATAATTGGTTTAAGTGGGTGTGGTAACTTAATTATCTCCAGGTACAGGGAATATCTCTAAGTCAAAAAATGTTATAAAAACCACATAAAAATACATAACTCTGAGAATACAATGTGTAACCTATATGTTCAACATATCCCCATATAGCTTGGATCTGAGTGCTCGTTATGTCCGAAAATCGCTCAGATCTCACGAATACAGTTGGAACGCCATGTGGTTAAACAATAGCAAGGGCTGAGGAGAGATTG